TCTCTCAAACCCGCCACCACTAAAATGTGACTCTCCAAAAATGCATAAATCTATAAAACCCTCCACGGTCCCAAATTACTTCTACCACCACCACCCCGTCTTTTTCTTCCTTTCTTTTTCAGTTTTGTTTCTTTCTAGGTCCTTTAACCCCATCTCCTCAACTTCCTCAATCTTTTCTTTAGCAATGTCCTCAAAGAAGTCGTGGAGAGGGAATGTTGGCCACAAGCAAGAGTTTAGATTTGTCTACAGCTGGAGCAACTGGCGCCTCCACCGCTACTTGGAGCTGACCACCTCCCCTGGGTTTCCAGCGTTCGGTCAAGCCAGGTTTGACTTCTTCGCTCTTTTTTGTCATTTAAAAGGAAAAAAAAAAATCTGTATCCCCAGATCCTTCTCATCGCCCTCGCTGATTTTCTATACTTCCCAGCCTCCAACTAAAAAATCACCGCACACTTGCGTTGCCTGCCTACCGGAACCTATAGCCGCCCCCCACCCCCCAGACTGGGTTTGTGAGTCCCAGCCCCAGACCTTTGGATTTCGGGTCTCAGGCCCGGGTATGGGGAGAGTGTGGGACAGTAGTTTCCATACCTGTGTGTGTCCTTTTGTGGATCTTTAGGTTCTCCGAGCGCGCGAAGACCTTGCCGCAGCCAGGGAAAGGACAGGGGAAGGGTTTTTCGCCCGTGTGCACGCGGATGTGGTTGACCAGTTTGTATTTGGCTTTAAAGGGCTTGCCCTCGCGTGGACACTCCTCCCAGAAACAGATGTGGTTACTCTGCTCCGGGCCGCCGACATGCTCCACGGTGACGTGCGTGACCAGCTCGTGCATTGTGCTGAAAGTTTTGTTGCACGACTTTTTGGGGTTGGCGAGCTGCTCCGGCTCGATCCACTTACAGATGAGCTCTTGCTTGATGGGTTGGCGCATATAGCGGAAGAAGGCGCCGGCGCCGTGGTGAGCGGCCATGTTCACGTTCATGGGCCCGTAGCCGTGCAGCTGCGGCGCGGCGTAGTGCTCGGAACGCGGGCTGGTCACCTGGCCGTACTGCTCCGGCCGCGGGTACATGTCCCCCGAGAAGCCAAGCCTCATCTGCCCGTTGACTACGTTGGGCGACGCGTGGCCCGCCGCCTGCTCGTGAAGCCCCGGGAAAAGGAGGTGGCCCGCGGCGTCCGTATGGCCGTGTGGACCTCCGAAACCGCCGGCCGAAGCAGCGAAGAGGCTGTGCTGCGCGCTGGCGGCCGCCGCCGCGTCGCCGAAACCCCGGTTGCGGAACAGAAAGTCCCGCGTGGAATTGAAAGCCGCGCTGGAATAGGAGCCGACGTGGCCCGGGTGGTGGTGGTGGCCCAGGGCCGCAGCAGCCGCATAGCCGGGCGCCTGCGACGTGAAGGCCGTCTGGCCGGCCGAGGCCAGCTCGTGCGAACTGGGGTTAAGCTTGAAGGCACCCATGCCGTCGGCGAACGGGTTGATGCCCAGGCCCACGTCTCGCTCGGCCACGTCGCCCGCCGAGTGGTGGCGGGATGCGCCAAAGGTGGTCACACCGATCGCGGGATACTGGGGGCCAGCGTCCAGGAGCATCGTGGCTGCTCGGGGCAAGCCCCGGCCTCCCCCACCCCCCCCACCCTCGCCTGAGGAGGGAAAATCGGGAGGAGGAGGAGGAGGAACGGGAGGCGGAGGAAGAGGAGGAAGAAGAGGAGGAGGGAGGGGAGTCGACCCACCTAGCGAAGTCTTAGCCTGCAGGCAGCGGCGCGGCGCGTCCGGGCGCCCGCCCGGCCCGAGCGCGGGGACACCGGACAGCTGCGGGCCGCGGGGAAGGCGGGCTCCGGCGCCCGCCGCTCCAACCCCGCCGGCCGGGTCGCACTTTGTCGCCGCTCAGTCTCTGCCGCGAGGGCCTCGCGTCAAGGCTGCCCGGGGAAAGGCATGGAGCATCTCAACCCCCCAAGAAAACTTCTTCCCGGATTTGTGGCATAGAGAAATGTGAGCGCCAGAGCCACGACTGCTCGCTCTCTCTCCACCGCGCGCTGCGCGCCCCTCCTCACTTCACTAGCCCCTCGCCCTTTCTTCTCTCTCTCTGTCTGTCTCTCTCTCTCTCTCTCTCTCTCTCTCTGTCCTTTCTCTCAGGCTCGCCTCCTTGCTCCTTCACTCTCCTTTTTTCCCCCTCTCTGCTTTTTTGCAAAAAAAAAAGGGGGGGGGAGAAGAAAGAAAAAGCCAAAGAAAAGGCGCAAATCATGCACAATATTGTCTTTTGCGGTTTATCTTCCTGGGGAGAAACTTTCACCTCCTCAGCCGGGCGGTGAGCGCGAGACTGATAGCAGCAATCATTCCTGCAGATAAATGAATTGAAAGGACGACACCGTCCCCCCCTTGATGAATGGGAGCAGGGGGAGGCGTCACGTGCTGCCGACGCGGCCGCTGATTGGTCCGCCCGCGCTCCCCCCGCCCGCGGCCGCCGCGCCAACGGAGGGCGCGCCGAGGCGCCGCGCGCCGCTCATTGGCCCGCCGCCTCATCAATCCCAGGTATTGTAAAGCGCTTGACATCCCCTTTTGACAAACAGGGCTGCCAGGAGTAGCAACTTTTTTTTTTTTTTTGCCAAATTTTTTCCCTCTTCTCACGGAAGAAAAAAAATTTTTTTGCCACGATTCTTTTTCCTTCTCATTCCTTCTCTCTCTCTCTCTCCCCTCTCTCTCTCCCTCTCTCTCTCTTCCTCCTCCTCCTCTTTCCCTCTCTTCTGTCTTCTCTCCTTGTCTCTCTCCTTCTCTCTTGCCTCCTCTCTCTCCTCATCTCTCTCTCTCTTTCTCTCTCCCTCTCTCTCTCTCTCTCTCCCTCTCTTTCCAGTCCTTCCTCAAACATGCTCTCCGCAGAGCGATTAGAGAGAGACTAGAGCAGGAGGCGGGGATGGGGCTGGTAAACACAGCAAAGGCACTTCCAGAATGTCTCGATTCAGCAACTTTCCTTTCTTTCCTCCCCCTATCCCCCCTCCAAGGGCAGCAAAGGAGGCTTTTGTTATTTGCTCCTTTTGAAGTTTGCTTCCTTCTTTCCTGGTCCCCCTCCTATTTATAATTTAAGATCTCAGAAGAATGCGGCACTCTATTCTCCTTACTTAGAAATGTGTGATTTCTCCGGGTAACCGGTATCCTCAATTTTTTTCCCACTTTTATTAGGTATCCTCCTCGTGCCCCCGACCTACCCCCCTGCAAAAAAGAAAAAAAAACAGGTGGATGGGAGCGCCTAACTTTCCCCGTTATTGAGGCTTGTTGGGTTTTTAAGTGGCAAATTGGAAACGCTGTTGCCATATTCTTTTGCTCCTTCTTTGGTGTTATTTTTCTCTTTTCTCCTTTCCCCTCGTCTCCCTTGGCTGTCCCCGCAAACCCCCTCCCTCTGCACTCCTGCTCCCATCCCGGGCCCCTTTCATTCAGGTAAAACTGTAAATTTCCCAATGCGCCATTGTTCCTCTGAGCTGCCCAAAAGCTCCCTAGAGATTCCGAAGAGTTTTTTGGTATTTAAATCCCCGATAGATAGGACCAATGTAAATTTTGTGACATTCAAACCTTTTCTAGTTCACAAATCAGTCACCCTTGTCACAGTTATTGAAATTCCGCAACTCGCCACACCAGGACGGTGGAAAAAGCGGGCGCGGTCTTTGTTGCCGACCAGGCTTTTGATCGCCAGAGAAAATTTACTTACCTTCAGATGAGTGAGCAGAAAAAGAAATAACACTCCCTTTGATTTAGTTAGGAAAATGCAGACATTTGGATTCAGTGCAAACATACAACACTCGCTTGTTTTCGCGATGCGGCCCTCGATTAACCTGTCTTTGCCAAGCGCAAAGTCTATTCAACAACTGCGCGTAGTTGTTTTTTGTCCCATCCACAAAGAACCATTGACTATATATTAAAATGATTGTTGAAAGGTAGAGGAGTATGGCAGTTAAAAGCAGGAAAAAAAATCCCTGTGACTCAATCAATTAAACCGAGCAACATTTATGCATTTCAAAAAATGCACACGGCTGCGGGCGGTGGGGGGGCGGGTGAAGGTTGCAGTTCTACTCAGCTCTGTTTTTAAAAACCCAGCAGCCCGGCCCAGGGTTTAGTCCTAACGTCTGCATATTCATTAGGTCTAATTATTTTCTAGTAAGGAAAACACAAAAAGCCAAGAGTCGGAATCCTTCAATTTGCCCTTTGTTTCTAACTTCATTTGGCTTCTTTGCAGCTGAATCAGAGCCCTAAACTCTTTTTCAGACAAAGAGACTTCAACTCATCTTTTCACAGGCGGCCCTGCTAGGAAACTCTCCAGTGCCCAGCGAGAGGAAAATGAAAATGATTTTTCCCCGTCGCCAGCCTTGGCTTCCCGAGCTGGAGGAAGGCAGGGCCAGCACTGACCACTCCTTGCCTTTCTGGGTTTCTAGTCTTCCTCACCAACTCGATTCTGGTTTGGAGATGGCAATAGTGGGGAGAGCCCATTCCGAGGTTCGCTCTCGCTCAAAAATCGGGTTGTTCGTCTGGGAAGGTTTCCCTGTGTCTGAAGGCATCTAGCTGAGCATTTCTGTTTGTTGTGCTAGGAAGTAAAAAAATTATAGAAGAAAAAAATGAAAATAGTCTGTCTACAGCAACAAGTATGAGTCCAACAGCCCAGTATTTCCCACTAACTTTTGAGGGGACTCCCAAGAGGAGTGTAGAGAAAGGGCTGGAGAGAGAGAGAGAGAGAGAGAGAGAGAGAGAGAGAGAGAGAGGAGAAAGAGATATTAAATATATATACATTTTGTTCAAAAAAAAAGACGTCAGAACCATACAGTTATTTCTGCTACCTACAAGAAGGAAGTTGAATCCTGGAATTGTAAAAACCAAAACCTTATCTTAAAGGAAAAGTTTTTTTCAAGACGTTTATTGCTCTCACTAGGGAGAACAAATATTGAACCCACCTCGCCTTCTTTCAAAACACACAGACACACACACGCACACACACACGCACAAGGGAGGGGACCTGAGGGGGAAGGGTAACTGTTGGGAGGGGGAGGGAAAATAATTCTTCAAAAAAGAAAAGTCAGTCTTCTCTTCTCCAGTCCGTGGAAACCCCAACCCAATGGGGACATTGACAAGAGGGTATTTTTAGGAAACCCATCCAAATATACATGGTAAGAGTGAATGTGAGAAAAAAAAAGTTGTGGGTTATAGAAGTTATCAAGTGGGATTTGCGGCGCTCTCTGCAGGAAACGCGAGCGGCTCCAGTTCAAAGCCACATGTACCAACGTGACATATAAGCCATTAAAATATCATCCTGACGGCTCATTTCTGCTTCATCATACACTCCCTAACTGCTTCCTGAAAGCTGGAAAAGGAGAAATGAAGGATGACCGCCTCGATGGAACCACAAAAGAGAGGTTTAGAGGGGCTTGTGGTCCCCCCTCAGCCACCCCGAAGTGAAGTGCAGAAATGAGGTGATCCCGGCAACAGGTGGAGCAGGGTAAGTGCTGAAGTCCAGGGGACAAATAGGCGAGACCTATACCCCCAGCGGCAGCGCAGCGAGTGCCTTTATGGGGCCGCTGGCACCCAAACCCCACTGGGGGAAGAGGCCCAGCCAGATTTTCTCCCCCATCTCCTCCTTCATTACCCCCCCTCCCGCGTCCAAACGCGGGTACAGGCCCCACCTCACTGACTCTGGGGGGGGGAGGGAGCCCTTCCGCAGAGGGGCAGCTTTGAGGTTGAGTCCATTCCTTCCTCCCAGGAGGAGGGGGCGCAAGGAGGACAAATAGGCTCCCACTGGCTTGGGCACCAGGAGCAGCTCCACGTCCGCCTGCCTTCCCTCCCCTTTTTGTAAATTGCCTGGGTGCCTCACCGTGGACACAGGAAGAGCAGAACTGGCCTGGTCAAGAGCTTTCTGTGCGCTGAGGGAGCAGGACGGGTGCCGAAAGAGGGACCTTGCAGGCAGCTTCTCTGCCCTGCCCCCAAAGCTATGGCGGGAAGGGTCTTGGCTTCCCCTCCCCAGGGTCAAAAAGCCAAGTTAGCTGCGCTGGCAGCAGCACGGTAGAACTTCTTCGCCCCATCCTGACTGAGCATGCCGGCTGGGTCCACCTCCGGCCGGCTGCTGACCCTCTCTCATCCTGGTCTTGCCTCAGGACACTGACCGGACCGATGGGATCTGCTCTCTATTGGCCGCCGGCCTTGGGTTCCGGACTTGGCTTGCTTTCTCCTGAATGCGAATGAGGGCTGCAGTTAGCTCTCTTAGGACCAGGCCGTATCTTTTAGGATTCTGGCCAGTACCCTGGACCAAGGGGCACTGGAAGTTAGGAGTCAGTGAAAAGGGAACAGAGTTGTGTGTGAAAGAGTAAGAACTGGCCCAAAGTCTGAGTCTCAAATTTTGGGGTTGATGAATGGCCCATAGAGACTGCTGGGAGCCCTTGGAGTCTTCAAAACGGAGAATAACCTTTAAGGGCTGCATCTCGGCGGGCACTGTCTGCAGAATGCGCCACTTGGATTCCAATTCCGTATTTCTCCCACCTTTCCATCAGTATTAGCCTGGTGGCGACAACGCCGCTGAACTGTTTTTTCCCTTCCTCTACATCAGGAGCCTTAGAATTTGGTGCAAGAGGTTCAAAGAGATCGTTAAATGTCACCTGCAGATGACCCCCCAGTGCAGAGTTTGGTTTGGCGTCGCAGGTTTCCCAATTCTTCGCCCTGGAGATGGGGGAAGTATGAGCTGCTCCCTGTAGAAAACAGAATAGGAAAAGGCCTCACACAACCCAATCTTTCAGCTCAAACTGCTGGGCCCGAAAAAGAATAGCTAAGGGGTGCAGCTGGCGACCTCAGGAAGCAGGCTGAGGCCACGAGCGTGTTATATCTTTGGCTTGGTAGCTCTAGGTTTTGGCTCTGTGCGGACCGGGGCTGAGCTCTACGAAGAGGCCCGCTTGCCTTTGCCCCCACAGCCTGACAGTTAATCAGTGTGGAGCAACTGCGGAACTGAAGTCGCTAGCTGTGGCTGACCTCTGACCTCCGACAGGTCTGAGCCGAATAGGTCAGCCCCACAACTACTGCTAAAGCCACTTCCAAGTAAAAATAGTGCCTTTTGCAGGTATCCACGGGCCCCATCTTCTTGGCTGTCATTGGACTATCAACCACTGGGGATCCTTGGCACCCTTTTTTCCTCTTAAGGTGCAGGGTGCAGGGCAGAGGCAAGTCAGTCTCCGAGATGTGTTCCCCACTGATTCAGTGGCCGGCTGGTGAAGAAAATGCCTTAGGAGCAGGCGTTTGGGGGAAATCAAATCAAGACCTTTTAGAGTGTCTTTTATCCTGGGGGCCTCATATGCACGGACCGGAAACAGCTCCCAAATTCTCTCGTTCTTCTTTGAGCAAGATGACTTGCTAGCTAAGTGGTGTCAAAATTGAACCCTGGTTCCCTACACAGGGTGTGTGGTAGAGCTGCTAAAAGCCTGTTAAGGTCCCCGTTGCCTGCTCTAGTCCAACCTCTGTAACATTTGGGTGCATGCATGCCTACAGAACAGTTTGTAATGCTCAAAAGACTGACAGGACCTGAGGGCAAAAGTGACCCAGACCTCTTAGAAGTTGGGCAGGGCCAGCATTGTGTGTGGACAGAGGTCTCTGGGGAACCTCACACCCATTTCTCTCAGGAGCAAAAAAGTAAATTCTATTATTGCTAACCAACCAGGATTTGTTGGTGCCAGACATCCTGCCATGAGGAAATTTCAGATCGAGGACACCCAGCATGCCGTCCTTCTGTAGGAATGCAAAGTTGGGCCTCCTTTCTTTCCTGTTCTGTGTTTGAAGGAGCTTATTACCTTTGGGGAAGGATGCCTTTTGGTTAAAAAGAATTGAAAATAAATAAAATCCTCTGGGAAAAGGTGAGTCTACTACTTATAGACTTGGGCCTGAAAGAGAAGGGAGAGGGAAATGATGAGAATAACTAAGCTAGTTACCATGTTTGGGGAGAGGGAGACAAGAGGAAGAGCTTTGAACATAGAGAACTGGCTACCCTTTGAGATAGGAGAGCACCACTTAGATTTGGCCTGTGGTTCAACAAGTTAAACAGCTGCTTGTTCTGTGGGCTGGAGTATCAAGACAGGCAGACGTCCTCATTGACAGAGGGCTTGCTGTGTTTGTCCAGCCTCAGACCTTTTCAATGACTGTTTGTCTTTCTAGGCCAAATTGAGGGATAGGGCTGGGTGGATCGCCTCTGTTTGACTTCTCCACTGCCTTCAGCCATACATGACAGACGCAGAGGTCTTCAAGATGCTTTTAAGGATTTATGATAGCCAAAGGCTTGGGACTTCCACTCACTGACAAGTAATGCATATATCTTAAGGGGGAGGTGTTACTATTGATCTTTTCGGCTACAAAACAGGGGCAGCCTGGACTAAATGACAAAAATGACACATTTTTAATCTGGTAGATTATATATTAATTTTAAAGAAATAAACAGTGATGGCCCCCAAATAGGTCTGAGGTTGTGGATCATGTGAGGCTAAAGATTCCGCATTGCCACAGACAAAACAGGATCTTAAAATCTGCAAAAAGAAAAAAAATTCTCCTCCCAATTCCAACATTGCAATTAATATTTTTAGCTCATTAGTGCCTCATGAAAGGAAAAGAGACCTCCCCACCACACCTCTCCGAAACTTGAAGAGATAATTGGATCTTCTCATATAATAATTTCAAATTTTAGAAATTAACAGTTATTTGAACACTAATTAAACATGTCTACCTGCAAGGCAGAACAACAAATCAGTTTCAGATAAAAATCTAGTCAGGGAATTATGATTTTGTAATATATTTATTACCAAAGACCTGACATTTTGTAATACATGTAGGAAGTTCCGACCAGAGTTTTTTCTTTAGCTTATGAATTTGAAAATGGTTAAGGAAAAACTAAAAGATGCTTTCAGACCAACATCTTTCATTCATACATTCAGGCCACAGAATCTTACCACCAAAACATGTATGATATTGTTCAACTAACAACGGTCCCCTTTTCTTCTCCAACAGGCTCCAAGTCAGAAAATGAGATACAAGGCATCCTTGGTAATGAGGAAACAATTACGACTTTTCCGAAACACCCTGAAAGAGTCAAGTAAGTTAAAATCCTTTTTTAAGTATTGATTTGCTGAAGCTTGGGGGTGGTTTTTTGGTTTCTTTTTGTGCTACTTATGCATAAAGTTTTGTCTTTTGGTTATGCTGAATTATGAGTTTGGGTACATTTCTTCAGTTCAAATGAAACTTAGAAAAACACCTTGGTGTTTGGTGCCTTTGCACACAAATCAATGACACAACATCCCACCAGCAGCCAGCTAATCCTCCTCAATGCCTAGTCATCTGGACGTTCTAGAATTAATATTTGACGACTCTCTCATTGAAACAACCACCCCTGACCTTCTGCAATTCCACTGTCACATTATTCTATGACATATTCATCTTGAATTCATTTCCGGACGATTTGATTGGAATGAGGTTTGACAAGTATTGGCTTCCATGAAAGAAGCAGACTTTGATCTTGGTGATGGGGTTTACATGATATGCATCGTCTTTACCAGGGACACCAGCCTTCTGCAATGTGGCAGTGACTACATTCCCACAATGTCGTGTCTGAGCAGGGAGTGACTGACAGCCACTCTGTGAGGAGTACCTTCATTGTGAAGAATTTAATTTAATATTCCATTTAGAATAAGCATATGATTTAGGGTTGGGTGTTTTCCCTTCCACACATCTAGTTCCTCATTTCAACTATGTACCTAGCTAAGGGCTATCTCCAAAGAATCTCTTGTTGATAGGCAAAGCAACCTTCATAACAAAAGTTAAATGACTAAGTCAGGAAAGGCACTGGCTCTCTTCTATTATTTTGGGATGATTTGATGACAGAAACCTCAGGAGAGATGTGGTTATTATGTAAATTCAGTTGTTTTGATTCCTTAATGCTATTTTGGAAGATGCTTTAGCATTGTTTCCTAATCTTTTGTCAAAAGACATTTTGCAGAAGCATTGCTTGGAAATTAAATTCTATCCAAGTATATTTTCTTCCATACTAGTTCCTTTAATGATGATCAAAGCTCAAATTTCCATAGTAGAGGAGAATCCCCCCCCTTTTTTTTTTCCTTTCTTTTTTTTACAAAATCCCTGATACAGCTAATCTCCTTTCCACAATTTGGGCTTGGACATATAGCAGGATTCTGGGGCTTAAGTTATTTCTTTTTATAAGGCTGAGATACAGCCCACTGCAAGAATGGTAAAGGCTGTCAATAAATAACCTCTATATGCTACTTATTTTGGGTGGCAACCTGGCCAGAAATGGAAAGGGAAACTGAACAAGCGATTGGAATTCAGAAGCATAACATTCAGATGGCAGAGATGTGCTGGGCTAGGCTTTGTACAGTGCTGCTCAACTCCTGAGCAGCACTCGGGGCACAATCTATAACAGATAATCATCCTTTAGCATTTTTTAAAGATCAAAATTGTAAAATAACCCAGCTATTGATCTATAATCTCCTCTACATTTTTTTTTCCTTTCCAAGGCAGAGAGGTCAAACATTTCAGCCAGTAATGTGAGGAGCTCTGACAGATGGTAGGGCCACCAAATGCCCTATTTCTGGAAAGTAGGACTAGAAAATCATTTGTTTGTGCCATGCACTGGACTGGCTATGAGAACCAGAAGTACCCAAGTCATGATTTCTGGGCATTGACTTGCACAAGGTCTGGAGACTAAGGGATATTTGAGGACTGGTGGTGAAATCTGCTCCAAATAGGCCTTCCTGAAAGATTCAGTGCTCCTTTCTGGTATATACTAAAGATCTCTAGGCTGGAGGATATTCATTTTCTCTGCAAATCAAGAAGGAAAGTGGACATGACTGTGCTATAACCCTGGGCAAAGGTTAGGAATAGAATTCTGCAGACAACCAGTTGGTGTTGGGGTCAAGTGTAGTGAGATAAATCTCTGAAAGAAAAATTCTGAGGATTGATGAGGTGAGGGGACACCACTTCTGGCTAATGACAGGCTCTGAGTCCTGGATCTTTGCTTCCTGAGATCTCAAAGAGATCTCTTAGAAGAGGAAGACATTGGTACTTTACTACTTGTCATTTGTGGTTAGCTTGACACTACTTTGGATTTTATTTTAGAGATGTCTCAAAGACCCTTATGTAATTGCCTAACGCTCGCTCCTTATCTGTACATATTAAGGGATACAAAGGATTTTTTTTTCTCCCTGTCAGTCTCGGGGGGCAGGGGGAGGATTGTCCTTGTAAGAAAATGTCTGGTCCCATTGCTGTGTGTAGCCAACCGAGGTATGGACCATATGGTTCGGAGGAACTTGCAAGGATCAGACGACCTTGATGACCTGCAGGTCGACTGACCCTTGGCTACTCAAGAAACGTCTACCCAGGATAGGTACAGATGTTTTCAGCACTTAAGAAAAGGCTGCATCTGGAAAGGAGCTCCATGGGGCCAGTCTACTGTCAGGGATTTTGGCTGAATCAGATGTGTCTGCCCTTTTGCTGCTGGCACAAATAGTCATACACATGTTCAAAGCTTTTCAAGGGCAAAGATAGTCAGAGAGAGTGTATAGTACACTAATTGTTTATGCATATAAAAATTCTGCTTGAGGCTGGGGGTATAATTCAATGGCAAAGCACTTGGCAAGCTGTGTGTGAGATGGAGAGAGTGTGTGTGTGTGTGTGTGTCAGAGAGAGAGAGAGAGAGAGAGAGAGAGAGATTTTTAAAAAGTAACAACAACTCTACTTTTTAACCCTGGAGTCCATAGTTTCAGTACTTAGGATTCAGGATGTCCAGGAAAAAAAAGTATCCTTCTTTCTACAAGCTTCTAGTGGAAAGTTAGTGTTTCTTGTTATGAGTAAGGGGAGCAAACACAAGGTCATTAGAAGTTCAAGTGACTTACTAGGCTTCCAAATGGATCCATAGTCTAAAATAGCTTAAAGACCTCAGTTCTGTCTATACCATTCTTCAAAGTTTCTGAAGAGGATATACACTACCTGTATCTTAAGGGATTGATGTCAGTGTAAATCAGTCTTAATAGAAACTAAAGTGGATAGTGAGTTTGAAAAAACTCTGAGCACTTAGTTGTAGGTTACCAAGGTTCAAGTGGGAGAAAAAACATTTTGATTACTGAACTATTGGGGAAGGGCCCCTGGATTTAGGCCTGAAAGCCACAGAAGTTGACTAAGCTCGGTATTAAAGTAAGGATAGTAGAAACATCTGGTCAAAGGGTTCAAGAAGGAACACACGTTTTGTTGCACTTATTTGTTTGTGTTTTGAGTCCTTCCTGGTTTTAGCCCAAACTTAACCTGGACAGTTGCTTCTTTCTGCTCAGTGATTAGACTTGAAACAACTCACTGAGATTTGGGAACACCTTTTGTGAAAGAAGAGGCTTGACCAGTCCTGGAGGGAAAAGAAAAAAGGACCAAAGAGGAGCACCTCTGGGTGAAGGGATAATCTTGTAAACTGAGAGTGTGGGAGACAGGGAAGTCCAGGAAAGAAGACAGATGTTCAGTTTAGTTTTAGAGCTGCTGTGTGGAAGACCTTGTTTTGGGTGGGGGGGAGGCACTCATATGTTCTCTGCCTTTTTTTTTTTCTAATACTTACACAGAACCTATTGGTAATGGCCTTTTTTTTTCCTGCTGGAGGAGCAGAAAGACCCAGACTACTGGAAACTGAGTGAAATTGTTGTGGAAATTAATCCCTTACCAAGTTCAGCCCTGAGTGGAGTGATGTGTTCAATAAAGAAAGTCTCAAAGAATCTGACAAACTTCACAATTATTAGAAACTTAAAACCCCTAGTTTCTGATCATGATGTGCAACAAACTTCATTGCTAGGGATGGGTGTACAGTCCTCCTGTAAATTCCTAGTTAGGGGTCTTTGTAATCAGTTCAAACTTCTCTCCTCTGCTAACTTGGAGAGGGCTATGGGATCTTTTACTCAATCTTTAGAACTTCTCTTTTTAAAAAAATCCAAGCCTTTCTTTGCTTTGGAGGAGCTTTTTTTTTTTTTTAATTTACTTTTTCCACTGCAGCCAGGGAGGTCCTAGCACTTCAGCTGGCATTTTTGACCACGTTGATCAGGCGGAGGTCGGGGCCAGCAGCCCTTCAAACCGCGGACGAAGCAGCTGACCCTAGCTGATCAGTGGAGACAAAGGACACTCCGTCCTGTTTATGCCACACTTGACTGGGCTAGAACTGAAGTTTTCTTTAAGCCACCGTCCCCCACTTCACCATGGTGGCGATTCGAGGCCGGGCTGGAGACCAGAGGCCCGAAGTGCCTCTAGAGCCTGGACCGGGAAAGGTGGTAGTGTCCACTATTTAAGGAACCCTAAGGCTAGCAAGGATGGAAACAGAGGCTCGGCCAGCCAGCAACAAGTGTTTGGAGTTAAAAGTGGAAGTGGTCCCCAGGCCCTTGTTGCAGAAGCTCCATCTAATGTCAGGGTACAGACCTCAGGTCCCCACATAGGCCCGACCAATCTTGGAGGACCTGTTCCTCCTAATAGCGTGCCCCTCGCCTTTGTTTCTTTGACCACTTGACCCGCGGGTGGACATGATTTGTGACCGAAAGGGCCCTCTCAGGAGAGTCTGAGGTGGGTTCGAGGCCGGTCTCTTCTAGGTCATCGCTGCCTCTGACCCAATCCTGGCTCTAGTAAGGGGCTGATTCTTGGGTTTCAGGGTCTCAGAGCGCGCTAGTCACGAGGAGGAGATTCTGACAGGCTAAAAAGGAACAGAGTAGACAGGAAGGAGAGGGGGAGGGGAGAATAGAGGATCCATGCAGGAAGGCAAAATGCTGTATGGGGCATTTGGGAAAGAAAGACTAAGAGCAAGATGGAAGGGGGGAAGGTGGAATTTTGGAGAAAGTAAGAGAAAATAAAAATTGGGCCCAAGGGTCGCAATCCTAGTACTTTCTCTGCTGCTTGTAGCCTTGTCGGTAGCTACATACCAACCCTCTCCTCCTTCCAACCCTCTGGACACAAACTGCCCCAGCAGATCGAAGTCTCTGCGTACCCTGTATTGCCCATTAACCCTGAAAAGCCTGAGTCCCCTGCTCTGCCCAGAGGACATTATACACAACTCAAAGTCGTGGTGAATGAAGGCATAACCCAAACCCGCTCACTTTGAGAAGGCTTTAGGCAAAGCCAATCCTCCCAGCTTTCGGGAGAGGAGGGGAGGGGGCTAAAGGGGAAGAAAAAAGAATCTGTGGCTGGATCAAGGCGCATGAGCAGTAACAGCGTGAAATGCAATTGGGGGTGGGGAGAAGGGGTGAGGGAAGGGGTGTGTGTGTGTGTGTGAGTGAGAGAGAGAGAGAGAGAGAGAGAGAGAGAGAGAGAGAGAGAGAAAACGAACCCCGACTGGCTAGACCTGTCATCGCTGACGTCGGGCCGGGCTATGGGCCAATGGGCGATCTAGACGATTGTTCCTCTTGGTGGGCCCCGGCCACGGCCCCGAATCTCTATTCATTTCTTCTAGCGCCCTGCTGCTGCCTCTGTAGTGTACGGAATTTCACGTAGGCATTAAAGACCGAGAAGGGGGTGGGGGGGAGGGCGCAAAGCCTAAAACTTGAAGGGGAAAAGCCCTATAACACGTTGCACAACTTTTTTTTTGGGGGGGGGATATCCTTTCTCTTCCCCACTGTCAGATGATGGTAGCGTACACAAGGAACTCGGGAATCCGATCAGGGATGCAGCAGGCCGTCGCCTCCCAGCCGAGCAGGGCACTGAAATTAATATATATGTCTAGGGGGCTTCAAAACCACTACCACCTCCCACATCACCACTTCCAAAATCTCCACTTCTACCACCTTCAGTCCTGGACAGGGAGCCGCGCCCGGGAGCGCCCCGTGGTGTTGGCCGCCAAAGTGCGCTGGAGACACAAGTCGGACCCCTCTGGAGCAGAGGCCGGGCCCCCAGCAACCCACAGACTCAGCAGCCCTGCTGCCCTTTCCACCACTGCCCCTTCCATCTACCCCACCGCCACCATCCCTCTCCAGTTTATGGAGCGGCGGGGAACTCCAAGGAACAGCAGCCCAGCCGGACGACGGCGGAGGCGTTTGGCCTTGCTCGGTCCGTCGGGTCCACTGCGGGTGCAGACTGGTTCCTGATCCCAGCGCTGACGGCAGAAGCCGTGGCGCCGCTGGGCTGGGCCTGCCCCCCGGGGCCCGGGAAAGTGCGCAACCCACGCCACCGGTTCTCACGCGCACTATTTATCTCGACAACAGGTAGCAGTTCCGGACACCATGGCCCCCAGCTCGCGGCTGCTTCCAGCCCCTCGGTGTTCCCGAGCCTTCATGAGCAGCCTCGCCAGGCCTCGCACAGTCGTCCTTTGAACGGACTCCTGCGTCTGGGGCTCCCCGGAGACATGTACGCGCGGCCCGAACCCTTCGCGCCAGGGCCTACGGCCCGCAGCGACGCCCTGGCAGCCGCCGCGGCCCTGCATGGCTATGGCGGCATGAACCTGACCATGAACCTCGCCGCGCCCCACGGCCCTGGTGCCTTCTTCCGCTACATGCGCCAGCCCATCAAACAGGAGCTCATCTGTAAGTGGCTGGCGACCGACGGCCCTGTGCCCTCACGCCTGTGCTCCAAAACTTTCAGCACCATGCACGAGCTGGTCACGCACGTCACCGTGGAACACGTCGGCGGCCCCGAGCAGGCCAACCACATTTGCTTCTGGGAGGAGTGTCCGCGACAGGGCAAGCCCTTCAAAGCCAAATACAAACTTGTAAATCACATCCGCGTGCACACGGGCGAGAAGCCCTTCCCCTGTCCTTTCCCGGGGTGTGGGAAAGTCTTTGCTAGATCAGAAAATCTCAAAATACACAAACGAACTCACACAGGTCAGTATTCGGCGCTGTCTGTCTCGTGCGGATCCTCTGGGGAAGCAGGCCCTTGGGTCTGGATTCCCTTAAGTTTCAACTGAGGGGAGGAGGGAGGTGTTTTGGTATTGTTTCCATGAGCCAAATCCATAAAATATTAATTACGCACTTCTATTCTTAGAATCACAGAAGTTCCCGGAGGCTGTGTGTAGGGAGGACAGTAAGAAGATTTCTGCTCAGGGGACAAGGGTGAAGTTGTCACTATCCCTGTGGGCAAACATGTTTATAGAGTTTGATTTTTTTTCTCCAGAGCTGGGTATGGAACACAGAGCTTTTCACACAAAGCTCTCTGCTACTGAGCTGCATTTGGAGTCCCTGGAGTTTGATTTTAATGCATTTAAAAAGCAGCACTGCTTTTCAAACTCTTAAACACGTGGAAACACTTGTTTAACTAGTCCCAATTTCTTTGTAATCCTACGGCAGAACTTCCCCCGCCCCCATTGGCCTGACAACAGAACCATCACCCGACTGAGGAGATCATCATACCTTTAGCGCCTTCTTTAAGATAGTGGGATCTTGGTGGCTAACTTTTGTCCTGTTTTTGAGTCTTGCTGTCCCGACAGAAGGGACATTTTGCTAACCCTCACTCTTACTTTAGCAGAGACCCAACGGGACCCATCCGCCTTAAATGTCATTTACCGAGCTGTTAAGTGAACTAGGGACATGTGTCAACCACATCTGTTAGTTCTAGTTAACAGAAAGAAAAGGAGCACACGCAAGAGCCTGCAAACTTGAACTCTTCTGGCCAGGAGCATCCTTAATTAATACAATTGCAAAAGGAAAGTTTTCACACTGTAGAACAGCTTGTGAAGTAACATTAATTAGTTTAGCAGCCATTGTTTGACTCTCCTTACTCCTCCCCCTCCCTGGAAGTTTACAAGTCAACGTCTTCTCCCCTCCCCCATATTAGGGGCGGGAAAAGTGGAAGAGAAGAAGTAAGTTCCAGCTTGGGGCTCCACTTCTGCTCCATAGCGCCTAGGCTGCCTTACTCCTTCCTGTTCTTGCTGCAGCACCAAACTTGGTTAGAGCCCAAAATCCCCTAGAGTAGCGGTGCCGCGGAATGAAAGTTGCTAAACCTCACCCTAGAAAGTCCTCTCCGCGAAGGTCCAGGGCTAAGACCTTGTCACAAGCGGAGACAAGACCAGACTTCACTTTGAATCTTGTACTTCATTTCCGGAGCATGTCTGTAAACATAAGGTTTTCTCCAGTTCTTTCTGGGCTTTCCCCCATCTCTGGCGTATATCTGCCCCTCTCTCCGAATTACATCACCAGGGAGAGGGGTATGGATAGGACCCTGATCCTAGTCTGCAGGCCTGCTACTCCAGGAACTGGCCGCCAGGACCTGGAAATAGACGCTCAATCCGAAGCTGGAGAAGGAACTCATCTTAAATGACAGGGTTTTCTGCTTGTTTGTTTGTTTTGTTTTAAACAAACAAACTTTTATTGCTCTTTGCCAGTCCACTGTTTGAAGTCCGTGAAGCAGAAAATAGTTAGATTCTTAGAGCAATTGACCTACAGCAGAGAAACGAGTTCAGTGCGCCTGGGCTGGCTCTCAGGTTTGCATCTATTCGGGGGACGGAATTCTGTGCGTTCTTTCCGCTTGCAGTCCTGATTCATTACCAGTTGGGTTTAAAAAAAAAATCGACAGAATCTCTCCTGCTCCGTTGTTTCTCCCCAACCCCCCTCATAAGTAATGGAAAGAGAAGGGAGTGGGGGGGACACAACAAAATGTTTTTCAAATGGCAATAGACCTCACTACAAATTATTCATGAAGACAGTTCTCGATTCAACAGGAAAATAATTGCCTTTTCAAATATTAATGGCGTTTCATTTCCTTGAGTCGCGGAAGCGGCAAACAGGAGCAGATTTCTCACGAGTAGAGATTCTCTTGGATCCGAATCCCAGGCCTGCAGGCTGGCTTTCTAGGCGAAAGGTTTCACTTTGTAGCATTCTCAGCGATCTGGGAACAATGGTGCTGCCGCCACGGAGGCGCGGGCCGGCCGTGGCGCGCGGCTGAACCCCGTCGCTTGGCGCGCCCCTCCCGGAACTCTTGGGTTGGTTAGGGTCTCCCCACCTTCCCCAGTTGCAAACAGAGAGTCAGGGCTTGGGGATCCGAGATAGAGAAGAGGCAGCGCCGGGGAGAAGTCACCGGGAAAAGCGGACCCAGCCACAAGTGAGAGAAAATGGCGCTGCCGGGCGGCCCCGACGCATCCGAAGTTTGTCACCCGGGCCTGGCGCAGGGCTGGGAAGGAGGCCTCTCCCGCTGGCGAGCCTTTGGGAGGAGACTGGGCCTTTCTCACCGCAGCCGGGGCGCAGTCCGCTCCGGGGGATCGCAGGGACCTGGCCCAGCCTTGCCTGTGAGCATCCACCCACCCAGGGCGCAACGCTGGGACCTGGGGGAGGGGAAGGGCGGGAGGCAGCGGTGGCGAGGGGCGGGAGGGACGTGAGGAGCTGCGACCAGGGCGCCTCCTGCAGCTGCAGAGCACGCCGTGGCGCGCGCGGCCTCACCTGGCCTCACAGGGGCCTGCGAACTTCGTGGCAGCCCGGATACCCCCAGTGCCCTGCTTTTGTCTCGTCCGGTCCTCGTCTGCAGCGAAATCAGTTCCTATTTTACGTGAATGTCCAGCGAGGCGCTCACAGGATGGAATAAGTGTGTGTGTGGAGGGAGTTTTGTTTTGTTTTGTTTTTTCGGAGCGGGAGGGAATTCTATTCCTCCTCTGTTTTCTCAGAAAAACCTGGTTTTCCTTTGCAGGCCCTGAACTGAGTAATTTCTTGTGAGCGATTTTAAAAAGAGCAGAAGAAAGGGAGGAAGGGAAGTTCGGGGGCTGTAGAGGGGAGCAGAAAGGGGAAAATAGAGACACTGATTTATTCTGCATTTTTCTTCTCTCACTTTTTCATAAAACGGATGTCCAGTGAAGTGGCGGAGGCCAGAAATCTTCAGAGGACCTGCTGTGCTAGTACAACTCTTGAGGGGAGGGGGCGCGAGCGCTAGGATAGGCGGTGCCGGAGCCCGGGGTCCACAGCAGCTGCCCGCGCGCGGAGCGATGGGTTGTGTTCCAGAGCCTCCATGGGGCCTGGGGATAGAGGCTTTGTTTGTTCAGACCTGCCCAAAAGCGTCTATCTTTCCCATAAGCGGCAGGAGGAGCAACCACAAAGCCAACAGTCGTACATCTCTCGTTCTTCAACCAGACGCTAGGTAGCGGTTCCCGCAACCCAGAGAGCCGGGCAACGTTCATTTGTTTAAAGCTCCCCAGCCATCTCCCCCTTCCTTTTACGCAGCATTTGTGGCTCCTTCAGGAACTTGGGCTTCCGGGTTCTGGGGATCTTTTCCTCCCTCATTCGCCAGCGAATTCAGGCACCAGTGAGCTCTCTGATTGGGGGTTTGGTCCAACCAACATTTCCACCCTCAATAGCGCTCACGCCTTCCTTTGGCTTTGCAGGGCACAGCAGCCACTGATCCGAGCCCCCTGCGGCCCTACCCAGACAGCCAGCTTGCGCTCCCGCGGGCGGGGCGGACCAGCCCTGGCCGCAGCAGCTGCGCGCACCGGCAAGCTCGCCCCACTCAAGGGAGCAATTGCTGGAGAGACCTCATATCCCGCCTGTCCCGGGCTGATCCTCCCAGGCCGGTCCCTTGGCTTCGACCTAAGAAGCCAGGCAGCCGGGTGAAGGTGGTCTGGGAGGCGGTAGACGCCGGTAGCTTGGATCAGCTACACGGCAGGGTCTCCGCGAGACTGCCTGGAGCAGCATAATAAAATATGATTGTCGGTGAACGCTATCTGGAGAGATCTCGGATGGTTTAGGCAAGATTTGAAGAATGCTGCTAAATGTTTGCCCTCAGGGGGTAGAAGGGAAAGGCGGAGGTTCCGTTTCCCTGTAAAAATCACCTTTGAGGTGAATCATTGCTCAGAATATCTTTCCCTGCAGCCAGAACCCAAACTATGTATACGCCATGTGCGTCGTTGCTTATCCCTTAAATTTTTTCATCGCCTTAGCTTTTGCACAAAACCTACTTAGGAAACTGTTTGGGCCGGGGTGGGGTGTGTGTGTGGTGGACTTGTGGGCAGAGGTGGTGGTGGCAGAGACATTTGGCTAGGACAGCAACTTTAAATCGAGCAGATGTGAGATCCGCGGTCAAGTCTATTCTCTGGGCAGTGATGATTCTGGCTCCGAGTGAATAGAATTTGGAGGAAAAAAAAAAACCCAAGCGGATCAGGATTTTCAAGAATGGAAACTCGACTAAGATGGAGTCATTGTCGCTCCTCCTCCGTACCCTCCCCCTAGGCCTAGGCAGGAGAGGGGGAGGGATGGAGAAGGGTAGGAGGGGGCGCGCTCTGCGTGAGATAGGGGGTACCCGATATGAGGCGCGGTGCAAAGAGATGACTGAAAGTCTGTTTTGTGGTTCTTTTGCAGGAAACGAAAGAGGAATGGGGGGCAGGGGATGGTGACGATCCTAAGCCTGGAACTCGTCCAGGCCCACTAATGTCTCTGCGTTGCCTCTGCCAGGCGAGAAGCCCTTCAGGTGTGAGTTCGAGGGCTGTGAGCGGCGCTTCGCCAACAGCAGCGACCGCAAGAAGCATTCGCACGTGCACACGAGCGACAAGCCATACACGTGCAAGGTGCGCGGCTGTGATAAGTGCTACACGCACCCCAGCTCTCTACGTAAGCACATGAAGGTGCATGGTCGCTCGCCGCCGCCCAGCTCTGGCTACGACTCGGCTACACCTTCTGCCCTTATGTCGCCCTCGTCCGACTACAGCCAGGATCCCCCGGTAGCCTCCTCAGCGGTGGTGGCTGTGCGTGGCACGGACTTGAGCGAATGGTACGTGTGTCAGGGCCCGGGCCCCGCCACAGCTGCCTCTGCCGCGCCCCCAGAGTCCGTCGTCACCTCCTGGCCCTGCCGCTGCCGCCGCCGCCGCCTCCAGTGTCGGGGCTGCTTCTACCGTTGCTTCAGAGTACATCGACTGCGAGCCTAGGCCGGGTTGCTGAGGCTTGAAGAGAGCTAGAAAGATGCAAGGAGGGAGGGAGGAAAGATCGTTGGGAGGGAGGGAGGGAGGGAGGAAAGGAAGGGAAAGGAAGGAAGGAAGGAAGGAAGGAAGGATCGGAAGGAAGGAAGGAAGGAAGGAAACCACTAAATGCTGATAGACATCATTGACTATTCTGACATAACGTCCATTATTTTCAAACTTAAATATGGTTCCTGTATTTTTTCAACAGTTAATGTTTGCACCACTCTCCTCCTTCATGTCCTCATGGATGAATAGCATGACACCAGTCCTAAGGATAAAGAGACAGGCAGATGGAACACAAAAAATTAGGATTTATGTGCAGTTCTGGCAACTGCAAGTGGTGAAAGTAAAGTCACAAAGCCCTCCCCCCACTTCACAGATTAGGAAATATTTTCCTAGGGGCCTGGACCACTCCCTCCCCAGCTCCCAGTCAAAGCCTCCTTTCCTGCCCCTCTCCTCTCCCATCATTGCCAGTCTCAGTTCAGATCCTGGAAGGTGGCATTCAGAATTCCAGGGCCTCTCACTTCATTTTTCTCTTTTGCTTGCCCACATTTCCCCCTTCCTCCCCTCCCCTTTAAAAAAATACATACCAAAGTCTTAAATTTTCCAACCACCTCCACAAAAGAGATAAGGGGATGTTCACCCCTCCCCTATGGGTGAGTCACATACATCCAACCCCAGTGGCTGACCCAGACGTCTGTCTGTCTGTCTAGGCCCAGACTCAATGAACATTTTATACTTAAGGTGGGGAGTGAGTCCGAAATGACAGGAAACATAGATAAAAGAACTAGAGAAGCTTCAGGATTCAATGTTATGAGCCTCCCTGGGGTCCCCTTTCTTACTCCCATTCCTGTCTGAGCACTGTGAAATCTCGTGGGTGCTTGGGCTTGGGAGAATAGTGTGGAGATGGTTGATGATGTCACTAAGTGGTGACCTCCACAACCAAGTGTCCTGTCCTAGTGAACAAGTGAATGACATTCATCCTGTGACAGTCTTCCCAACATCACACACAATGTTGGTCTAACTTAAAGGAGGAGGGGTAGAGAAATGAGCTACAATAATAAATACCATAAAGGCAAACACCCAGTGGGTGTAGATTGATAGATTGAATGCATATTTGATATGCTGGGTATGAAGTCCTCAGAAAAAAAGGACCACATGTTTTAAGGAGAGTAGAGTAAGGCCTTTGGCAATTATTGCCAACGTTGGCAGAGAGAAGAGGCTGCCCCACCCCCAAATCCTAGCTGATATTTGAAGAATGAAAAATATGAAAGGAAGGAGAAAGGTGAAAAAGAGAGAGAAACCTTTGACAAACTCACCCAAATTCCAAATTCCCTAAGAACATGTGGAGAGGAGTAATATCTCCTCTGGAGGGACCCCCGCCCCGCTCCCGCAGGAGCTCAGTTCTAAAAGCCGAGCTCCTGTGGCAGAAGGTGTAGCTCAATGGTAGAGCGCTTGGCTTATGAGCTTGAAGTCCAGTGATAAACCCCCTAAGAATAAAAAATATTTTTAAAGGTGGAGCAAACAAGTCCCAACCCTGCCACTCCCTCATTCTTTTTTATTCTCTCTTAAGAATCCACTAGACAATTCTCTGTCCTGTCTCTTAGCACCCACAACTTCTATCAAATAAAAAGGAACAACCTAACAGGAGTGGGACTTTTTTTCGTTATCCCTAATAAAAACCAGAATGTTCCAAAGACATTTCTTGTGAATCTGTTGTTTGAGGAAAGAAGACCAACAGCAATGTCTTCCTCACTCCCACTACAATAGGGTCCAGAGACCGCCTGGCACAGCCAGAAGTCGGGAGCAAACAACTTGTTCCCATCGCAAAACACTAACTATCCCCACCGCCAAGGTGCACAGGACATCTGTGGAACTTGCTGTTCTGCTGATGTTTGAAAAAGTGCCCCTCATCAAACAGCACTTTCTCTTCTGGGGTCAAGACACCCAGTTTTGTCTTCTACCCCTACCCCAAATATAGAAATAAAAGAAAAATTTTGGTCGATCACTAATCGCCTTTAATTTTTCATTTGCTTGTTACAGATGTCCACCGCGTTGCTTGCAAGGTAGTCTCGCCCTGCGCAGCTGAGCGCCCAGCATCTCGTGCCCGAGACATCAAAGGGCCCGCGCACAAAGCAGTGTTTCTTCGCCACGGTGCATCTTCATGGTAAGTTAGGATTTCTATGGCAATGGGCAAGTCGCACTGAAATCCTGAAAGGCCGAGCCTGGAGCCCGTCCAGGCTTTTCATTAAGGACATAATATTTACGTCTAACTGGCCTTTTTTCTTGTGTATACAAGTATATATTTTTGTTTGACGCGGACTAAATCATTTTCATTTAATTTCCGGTAAACAAAACCCACGCGAATGGGCACTTGTTCCCGGTCATAATAAAAATGGATAATAACGCGAGGGAAGAAAAGGCTCGCTTGAATCGCCGCTCAGCCCTCTTTGTTTCTGCTTTCTGCGGTGATCAGAGGGCGCATTTGGGTTTGATGGCGAGTTTCTAAAGGCGAGGAAATGGTTTGTAAGAGGGGAAAGAAAAGGAGAAAGGTCTAATCAAGCTCGGGTTGTTCAAAGAGTTGGGTTTTGGGGTTGAAAGTGTGAGTTTGACGATGCATCAGCATGCCGCGTTAGGCTCGCCATGGAAATGCGCGGGGTAGCGGCCGCTTCAAAGGCGCACACTTCAGTGCAGACACTCTATTAAGATACATTTGCGCTGACCTTTGCTTTCACGCCATTTAATACTGTCACTGTGCTCTTCAGTATATACTTCCTCCCTAGGACCTGTTTCGCCAGCGTTTAGGGGTTTACCCTGCACCCTGATGTAGAGAGGGCTTTGGCGCCCGGATGCTTTCAGGAAAGGGAGGAGCCGGACTCAGTGCATCTTGACTGCGCCCCAGAGAGGCTCGGGGTCAGGGTAAATTAAATGACTTTAGGGCAGTCTTAGAGGTTTAACAAATGAGCATCCCAGCTCAGTGTTGTGCAAAGTGCCCCTCTGAATCTTGGGCAGAACTAGGGTTTGAGGTTGATGGGGACTTGCGGGGAGGGGGGGAAGGGGTCACCCTGGGGAAATCAGATTGTGTCCTAGGAATATTTCCATAGTGGGTCCTGGGTCCCGGCACTGTCTTTTTACTCCTCCATCCCAGAAGTCTCTTGCAGCCCCTTAAACATTTTCCTCCCCAGGACTGGAATATAGAATTCTTAAGGCTGGGCTGCCCCTGGGCATGAACTCAAAAGTCCAAGGCCAAGGGGATGGGGAAGATGGCAGGAAAGTTAGAGGTCCATGTTCCCTTAATTGTCTTGTTGTTTATTTTATCCAAGTACCCCAGTGAATAGGGGAAAAATAAACACAGTGGAAAAAAAAATCAAACAGTGGAGTCTTCTTTAGTGCCAGTCGTTGTGTTTGAATAAAAAGGATGGTCCATTTTCTATTGAGCTGAGAAATCTTTGAAGTGGGAGTTATTATCTAAGACATTCCTGCTCGTCGTCCTAACAACGCTGATGAAACGTAAAAGGTTCTTTGTCAGCGATTTGTTCTCCTCTCTGTCAAACTCCCTCTGCCCGGTTAGTCTCAAACCGTTTCTAAAGAGATAAAATCAAACTTCTTTTTTTAAAAAAAAATATCCACACACAACACCAATAGATAACTTTCCGGATAAGTCTTACTATGGAAAAACAAAAGCACTGCTTACCCCTCAGAGTTAGGGCCTGATGAAGTGTGCAGATATTTGGGGGTGGGGGGAGCTTTGCACCAGCTCTGGAAAAAGGGAAAAGAATGCAGAGAAGGTGCAGGCAGAGGGTACAGACCCCAAGTCCATATTTGTGTGTCTGCTGCTTTCTGTTCAGGCCTGCATTCTACCAGCCCAAGTCGGGTCACATGGATGAGCTTCCTGAGATACTCCTCACACTGCACATACTGGGAGCCTTGGAAACTAAGGCTGTAGTCAAGCAAGTTTTAGCCCCCAACCTCCTGCAAGACACTTCTGCTAAGTATAGGCCCATTGTGTTTTCTTACCACTAGTAGCACTCTACAGGCCCTTTCTGCCATTAACTGTAGGACAGTGGCTTGAGGGAGGGAGATACTTGAAACTATTTCCAGTTTTCTTCAGCATCTTGACAATTGGAGTTGAGAAGTTTTGGTCTACAAGATGGTGACCAAAACTGCATGCAAATGTTCACTCTGTCTCCCTGGGTACAAGGGTATGCTGGCAGTTCCTCGTTTCTTAGTGGGCCCAGGAAAGAAACTTTCACCCCATTCAAGTTTCCCCAAGCTCCTGTTGTGGTTTAAGGTGGTTTAAATAAACAGTAATGTGCCCATCCCCCCACCCTGGGTATGCTAACTAAATGATTTGTAAAGAATTTTCCCCAAGCTGTAACCCATGCTGTTATTATAGTTGCTGCAAAATGTTGTCTCTTATATTGATTTTATTTGTTTACTGGAGGTCTCCATATGTTTGTTTATACCACTAATTTATGAGAAAATGCAATGAATGTGAATTATACAGACAGGCAAACTTTTTGTAATCATAATTCACAAGCACACACACACACACATACACACACACAGACTACACAAGCTTGACTCAAACGTTAGGTTATTTGGTACCCACAATGTTTGTGTTTTGTCATCTGTCCCCTTAGCAACAGTTAAATTATGAACTAACTTGGGAAACAAAAGTTGTTATGTATTTGACTGTGATTGTTGAATGAATAAGTTGAAAGCAGAGGCATATCTTCTTGGAAATATGTAAATGTAAATGAAATAAAATTCGAGGTTGCTTTTCCCTCAAAGGCCTTTGTGTACATGAAGCTCCGTTTTGCTACTTTCTTTGGAAATAAATGATGTGATGTTTTCCTTTCTCTCTTGAATTCCGGTGTCCTGTTATTGCTTCGTCGTCCTGGGAGAGATTTGGGGCCCTTCTTCGTCTTCCAGTCCTCTCTCCCTTGTCTTTTTTCATGATTTGACAGACTCATGTTTCTGGCATAACCCTTCCAGACAGCAAAAGAGGGGACCCGCCAAAATCGCCATTGTGGGACAGACTTCTCTCGCCCCAATTTTACCTCAATGACACTGGCATTAGCAACTGATTTCCAGTAGAGAGGGGAAAAGGGTAAATAGATACTCTAGTGTCTGCCCGGAAAGGTTGCCTTCCTGCAGCTCTGAGCCCTGGGACACCCTCTTACAAACCACCTTGAACACCCAGAGAAAAGCCTGGTAGCTGAAGGGAAGGAAAACAAACCAAGAAAAAGAGGACACGTTGGCTCCCAGCCCTGCCTAAACTGATAGAGGGTTCCAGGCACAGAGGCCGGACAGTCCCTGGCAGGTTGCACAGGTTCAGGCCTGGAGGACCTCATGAAACTGAGGACCTACAGACTATAAAAGTGTTCTTGGGCTCCCTTTCGGGATCTTTGGTGGCTTTTAGTATCTGCTGCAACTGCTGCCGCTGGGGAACTTTTTCAAATGTACCAGAATCACGTGGGTCAACAGTGCCATCCTCCCAGCCTCCACTGTGGTCACTGCGCTTGGAGAAACCAGTCCATTCTTCGCCAGCACCTCCTGCTCAGGCACCACATCGAGTGGTCCACTAGGTTCCTTTTCAACTTCTGAGAAGTTGGTTCCCGCTTGCCTGGCCGGTGTGAGCCTAGGGGCGAACAATGGCTTCTGGGATGGGAATTAAAGAACACTTACTGGCTCCTGGGTCTAGAGCTGCAGTCCCGGAGAGGACCATGAGAGAAGAGACACCAGCGCGTAAAGGCGCCAAGGGCGATGCGCGGGTGTGAACGGGCCGGTTACAAGGGGAACCGGGATGCAAGGAAATCTATGGGGGCCGGTAGGAAGAGGATCTCGGACGTTAGTCGTTAGCACTAGAATTTGCGCCCTTCCTGTCCCTCTCGAGGATGCTCCCTCACCTTTCCTCTCAGGGACCAGTTGCAGGGCTCTTTCCGTTTTTTTTGAGAGTGCACTGGTTAAAGCCCTTTCCCCGAAAGAAACATGCGGTGGGGAAAAGTGGAGATTAGAAATAAAGCAGGCACTCACAGCCTGGGCTCTGCCTGGAGTCCTCTCGTGACTGCAGAGACTTCCACCTTTCCAACTTGCACCTCTCCATCTGGCCAACGAAAAGCCGCCGGAGATTCGCTGGCCTAACCACTCCCGAGAAGGGAAGGAGGGAAAAGGGAGTGTTCCCAGTGGTTGCTTCAAATGTCCCACGTGGGGGAAGGACAGCCTCGCCTCAGAACTTTCCTGGTCCCTGTTAGGGCAGAGGAACCCTGGGGACAGGGAGAGAAGAAAAAACAAGTGATCTGGGATACCTCAGCTCAGGGCTACTTGGAGAACTCAGACTTCCTTCAAGTTCCCTCCTCTGCCCCTTGGAGGGGAATGGTGTCATGTTGAACGCAATGGTCCTATGAAAACCTTACCTTAGAATCTCCTGATTTAAAGCTACTCACTTCCCATCCATAGTGGCAGTGCCTAGGGTAAAACTAAGAAACAACTTGGCCTGCTTTTGGTACCCCCAGTCTCAGTCTAATTTGTTATTTCAAATTAGAGTATAGAGTAAAAACTGTGGCAGAAAGGCTTTAGATGGGCAGAACCAGTACGTTCCTCTTGATCATTTACTGGTCCTGTGCCCCTAAGTGATATTAACTCTCTGTGATTCAGTTCCCTTTTCTGTAAAATGGAATTAAGAGGAACTATCTTCCCAGGATATTATTCAATGCTGTAAAATAAAGTAATCCTTGAAACATTTAGAAATTAGTTCAAGTTATTGCTGTCACTGTTACTTGGGACAAAATCTTTTGGAAATGCCCTGTACCTGCCTGCAGAATGGTATCGGTCTCTCCACCCCTCTTAGAAAAGGTGACACCCATAGCACCCTGAGTTGCATGGCAGCCCTGGGAGTTGATGAGGGCTCTGCAAATACTGTGAGTTTGCTTTCCTGAGAATTCCAGGATTCCAAGTGGCCATGAACTGAGGCAGAAGGAAAATTTGTTTTCTAAAAGCCCAAGAAAAATGAGAGAGAATGAAGTTTATTTCAGAATGGAATGAAGCCAAAGAAACTGATAGCCTTAAATGTTACCCTCATGAAGTCTTAAGACTCTGGCATTGTGGTAAACTCCATGGCCAGCCTGCCCAGATGTTGAACTATCTATCATAAGTCTCTGGAGTCCCACCTGTAGGGTGTGGAGTTTCTTAAGACTCCATTGCAGCCAAAGGGAAAAATGTGAGTAGGAAGGGAGAGTAAGCAGATGGGTGGGTGAAGACAGGACATTTGGGGACAAGGAACACAAAAGAGCATTCTTTCTAGCAAGGCATCAGAACCTTTTTCACAATCGTGGATTTTGCTTACTGAATTCCCATTGTGGGGAAATTCAGTAACATGTCAGTCACTGAGTGACCGAATATTCTGTGCTAGTACTTTCTACTTATCACCAGCTTCTGGTCTGGCATCCTGACAGTGTTGTGTTTTTCACCCAAAGATTTATAGTGAGGAAAAGGAATGGGAGTTTGCTAGGAAAGCTGTCAAACTCAGACCTCAAAGCCATTCGAAAAAAAGAAACTCAGTAGACAAATGGGGGGAATCTTGGATTTTTCTCCCTGAATAGACAAGAGGCTTTGCAAACATCCAAAGTAGTGTTACAGAAAAGAAGACCAAGGTGAAAATACCTTACAATACAGGTTAATCTAATGTAACTATGACCAGGGAGGTGAACTTTGAAACTTGTCTCGCATTCCTTTCTTTTTTTGTCCTTCTGGAGAGCCAGTGTCCTTCTGGAGAGCCAGCGTTCTTCTGGAACCAAAATGCAGAGTGAGACTATTGATGCATTCAAAACAAGGTGGGCATGGCTCTGAACCTCAATGGATGGATGGACTGCCTTGGAAAATGTTTGCAGAGGGGAAAAGTAATAAGCAGAATTAGGTAGTTATATGGCTATGCCATCCAGTTGTAGAATACTGACAAAAAGTCACCACCATCATCAGTATGCAGGTATGAGAAAGACAATCCAAACCAGGTGCTGGTGGCTCATGCCTATAATCCTAGCTATTCAGGAGGCAGAGATCAGGAGGATTGTGGTTCAAAGCCAGCCCAGGCAAATATTCAAGAGACCCTATCTCAAGAATACTTAACACACACACACACACACACACACACACACACACACACACACACACACAAAGAAGACAATCTAGTAGCCAGATGTGGCTGACATTCTTTGTCAAAACCAGGGACAAACTGCAGAGAGCTCAAGGTCCTTCTTGTGCCAGGGCAAGGTCTGAAGGGGTGGGGGGGCTGGGAGTTTAATAGGCCTCTAGCTTCTGCAGTCATTAACGTACTAATTAAGGGTTAGAATATACTCCCAGCACCTTGGTAAAAGAAAAAAAAAAGTTTTTTCTGAAATACGTGTTTCTAAGCCATGAAAAATTTGTCTGCCTTTCAAAAGGTTTGCTTATTTATTTCCTGTGAAAGAAAGGAAAGTTATCTCAGGCATGCAAACATGAAGCTACTTTCACCTAAGAAAAATGCAACTGTTTCAAACATACCATGAAAATCTCCCAACATTTTCTGCTGCTGCATGTAGTGAAAAAGAATCTGTAGTGAAATGTTCTCTATTGTCCGAAAACCCTGCCAACCTTCTTTAAAAAAGAAAAAAAAAGTAACAAAAAACTGTTGTAGAAAAACAGCCTCCTTTAAGTGTGAAATATCATTTCATTGTAAAAAGTTTTTTAAAAAAGTGGTAATCCAACTTCCGGAAACTGTTCTGAATTATTTCACCAGACCCTTTTAAAAAGGGATTAGCAGGGCTTTGGGAGCAAAATCCTTCTGTTTTATTCAATCTCTGATTTTATGTTATAATTACTGGTTGTAAAGGCTCTGGAATTAGTATGCAGGCAACATCAGGACACGATGCAGGTGCTATTCTAATGGTTCAGCTTTTTAATTAAGAAAAGAGGTAAGAAAGTTGAATCATAAAAACACTTTTGTGAGAGCTGAGAACATTTCAGCTGACTGCATGAATAAAGCCTTTATACCTTCCCCTGACAGGTCAGCTACTGAGGCGCTGACTTACGACCTTTTCAGCACCAGACAATGGTTAACAGATTTCTCACCTTGTCCCCATGGAACTTTTTCTTCTAGCACAAGCCCTTGTGGAAATTGGGTAAGTGGCTTGACTTCCACAAAAGATATTGCAATTAGAATGGATACATATCCAGACTGCAATGCCTGCCTTACCATACATGCCTTGTTCTCTGGATCCCTTCTCATAGGTGGGGGAAGGGTGTGTGTGGGAGGCACTGAGAATGGACAGGGGAATGGCTCTGCCCAAAATAGCCCCACAGGGGCAAGCAGAACCAAGGCCAAGGTGGACTCCTCCCTCCCTAAAAAAACAAAACAGGGAAAATGCAGGTCCTTCTGTGCTTTTTTCTGAAATAGACTCTTGCAGGAAGGAACTTCGGACTGAACACCTCTTAGCTTTCTCTCAGTGGGTGTGTCTCAGTCTTTTGCAAGTACCCTCAGCTCGCCAGTTCTCCCCCCAACACAAATAATCTTCACCTATGAGTAAAACTTCTTGCCCCACAGCACTTCAAGACAAAATTTCCATCTGTCTCACCACAGTGTTGAGGTACTGCCCTGACAGGCCTATGGAAGGCCCTGACTTGGATAGGAACCCCCACTTTTCTCCCATTCCAGGTTTTGCCAAAGTCCGAAGCCCAGATTTGGACTCTCAGGGAAGTCTCCCTTCCCCTTCTATCTTTCTCTAGGGCAATGAAACTTTCACACATCACCTTTTCTTCCAGTCCAGGACAGAGAGGGGGATGGGTGGGTGATTGGGGACCTGGTCCACTTCCAGCAGCCCAAGCTTTGCCCT